GACTCAGTGCAGCAGGAACGGCGCATGCTGCGAGATAATCAGGCAACCGTTTTTGTTCCACGCTTTGACAGCGCGGTCCTTTGTGTGGGCCGCACCAGCTAAACAGGTGAATGGGAACAAAGCTTCGCTCGCAGCGGTGAACCAATCATTAATCTGCGTTCTACGTGACCGAATCGTCAGTCTCTGACGGTAGGCAGCCTCATATATCGTTCTAAAAGTCCGACCAATAAATTTATCCATGTGACCTAATTGCAATGTTCAATTTTTGTTTCTGTGAGCTATATTTGCACTAAGACGGGTGTATAATAATTGCACCAAGCCTTTTCACGACTGCTAAAGAATATTACGCAACCGCGAATATCGTAAGTTAAAGTATAAATAATGAATCAACCACTACCAATTAGGCAGAAAATTCCTCTCTTTCTCTACCACGGCAATTAAGTATTCTGCTTATACAGCAGATTCTCTATCTCATGAAACACCCACCGAAATTATAAAATGTGCTTTCGATTTGAACCGATTACTTAAGTAGGGTTGTAATACTGACTATTGTAGAAGCTAGTCTCAAGACATTTCTGTCATGCGAGGATGCTGGCTTTTTATTGAGCTTTTTGTGACCTCCTCCAAAAATTATATTATTTAAACAATCACTAATTAAGTAATATGAATTTTCTCATTGATTTTCACCGTCCTCATAAATAAAAAAAATATTTTAGAGAGAAAATGTACAAAAATACTATTTTTTTCGCTCCTTTGGTAGGAAATTCCACCTTCATCAAGTTTGTATGCCCAAAGAAGAGGTATATTTCGATTTTATAAACGTTGCTAAATGGCGGAATAATTTCACCGGCCATATGAGGAAGAGATCACACGAAATTTTGTACTGGATGTGGTTCATGTTGCATACCTTCTAGGCAACATTGAGAAACTGACGCCTAAGGTGTATTATAAATGAAAATTTCACGATCTTTAAAATTGTAAATAACCCTTTCTTCTACTATGCAAGTTGAAGAAGGCGTAATTTTTTTACAAATAGAGTACAGAAGAATTAATTTTTGTGAATATTTTCTGTAAAAATAATAGCTTTTAGAGGGACAAGGACAACCAATGAGAAAGATACACGTTACTTAAGTAACCATTTTTTAAAACAGCTTATGCTTTTTTGCGGGCAATCAGAAAGAAGCTCTCCCAAACGTCGGTATTCTGCGGTAACAGAAATATCTTGAGAGTAGGTTGCACGATAAGCAGTTTTAGGTGACTTGGGTAATTTGATTCAATCGAAAATGCCTTTCAGTATTTCAGTTACCATTTCATTAGACAGCTTGAAGTATTTAAATGTATTGGTCTTGAAAATAAAGAAAATATAGCGTTATCTTCAGCTGAACAATTTATGGAATTAAGAAGAAGAAGATGCGATCACTGGAACACGAGTTTTATTTGCCTAACGTTTCGGATTCCCTCGGAAATCCTTAATCATAGGTGATGATAACACAATCCACGACCATCTGTAGTGAATTTCTGTCTGAAAGATAAGCCGTGTTCTCGCTCCCGTTTTCGTTCTCTTTTTTGTTTTCTCTCTCGCTTTTCCTTCTTCCTTCTGCCTCTTCCTTTCTTCTTCCCTTGCACAACCTGCTCTACAATGCTCACCTCCAGCTTATTTTCGTTTTTAGCACTGCGCCCATCCCATCCCATCTCTGGCGACTGATCAGCTAGGCGGTGGCCTGTTGCTGGTGGTGGGGGGGGGGAAGGGAGTGAAGTCGACCCCCACTTAAACAATCTGATGCGCTTGCAGCTGTCACGGTGCACTAAAAGCCGTGGCTTGGAAGGTTACCAACTGACGGGAAGACTTGGACACAACAGCCAGTCCAGTGTATATCTAGCTGTGTGGAGTGGCTTACTGCGGGCTGAGAGTCAGGCTCAATGTCTCATTCTTAATGTTGCCTTTATAGCGCTCCCAGGCAGGAGCCTACCTAGTAAGGTGATTTTGATATGGCGCGTGCTGGAGTGTGTTTCGCACACACCGCTTGCGCCCTCCCCATCTCTGGTCTTCTTGACTTTTTTGACAATGAGTCCTGGTGTAGGAGTGGTGAGAGAGTGGGGTAGATCCGGCGAGCCTACCTTAATTATAATCCAATTGTAGTCACTGCGTCTGCCTCAGGCTGGCTCAAGCTCGTGGTGGACTGATTAGGGTATTGGAGATGCTCATCCCGCTATGCCTTGGAGCTCCATTTAAAGCCCTTTCAGTTGACTAATATTAACTAGAAGGCCAGAAGTGCCCAACACAGTTTTTCTTGACTTCCTCCGTAGCCCTTCTCTGCTTGTGTAACTGCTAGGGTTTAGGTTTATAACAGGGTTTTTGGTAAAATTAAAGTTACAGTTTAGATTTACGTTGATGTTTATGTTAGGGATAAAACATACGAGTATTCACCTTTCCTGAAATTTATTGAAAGACCACCTTTCTTAAATGGGCGGAGTGATTCCTGTTCCCGTGCGTTGTTTAGGCGACCATACAGATAACCCTTACCGAGCTTTGCATTCCATATTCAATTTTTTTACTTGCTGAACCCTTCCTCCGTATCCACTGAGTGCTTTGTGGGCATCCATAAACGCCTTCAATGCTAAATTTAAATGAGGATTACGCCGAGACCTATTTTTCATGCGCGGAAATGACATTTTTCTTTGCGAAACAGAAACCACTCAGTCAGTCAGATAAATAAGTTATTCTGCCGGACATTTTAAACCTGTAACCGGAACAGACAGGAACTGTGGAAAAACAGGGTCTGTCTGTAATCCCAGCTGCGTTTCCACCGGTGGTGGATGATGAAATAGCCTTCAGAGACTGCCATCTAAGAGTAGGGGGGATTTTGGATCCGCCGCAAAAAATATTCTCTGAACGGGCGAGGATAGTAGCGTTAAGTTAACATACAACCAAGATACACTGTTTAGAAGCTGTTTAGAAACGAGTCCACCAATAGGAGCGTTGCTTGACTGATTAGAAGGTTGTCCGCTCGCCACCTAACTTGGCAATTGCAACACAACATACAAAAATCTGCGATTAATGCGAGGGCTGTTATTTTTGGCAGGCTGGCGTGGCAACTAACTTCTACAACACTGTACTTCTTCTGCCTCCCTCACCTCTACCCTGACTGATTCTATAAACAGTCCCAGTAGTGAAACCGAAAGTGCAAGTGAACCCAATTCTGGTCCCAACACCTTTGCCTTTTTGCATGTGAATAAAGCTGTCTGTCATCGAATAAAGCCCGGCACACCAGCAAAATCCACCCGAAACACTGAAAGCGATTTTTCTTTTGGGGGCGAGGGTGATTGAATTAACTCCCGTTCGAATCCAGCTGATACAGGAAATGTCTGTGCCACCAAATTTCCTCACATAACCCTATTATGTTAAGCCACTTTTCAGGTGGGCCTTTGGGTAATCCAAGTGCTGTGGTCCAAAGCTCTGGCTGGACTTGTTCAATACCAACCGGAATGAAGGCAGCAATTCCCTGCTCAAGATGATCGTAAAAAGGTAGCTTTTAGGTTCAAGCATATGGGTTTTGTATGCCTGCTCACCTGGTTTTTATTGCAGGCAATGCGACTTGATTTGACTTTTTAAAGTCCCACGGAAAGCCACGAGGCTCACCCTGGAAACGGATACTCTTCTCCAGTGTTCACCCCTAGTGTCCTTTTTCCACTGACCAAAATTACTTTCTGACCATTAATACTACTGTTATTTCCGACTGAACAAGTTTGAGCTTCTCCACGTCCCTTCTTCAGCGAAAATCCTGCTCGGCCTACACATGATTGTTTCCCTCCTACAAAAGCTTTTCCCTCTTCCTCCGAACGGCGTGCCACCTTCCTCCAAGAATGCTGCCACCCACCCCTGTTGACTCTTTGTTTCCAGACAAATACACGCTCGTGCCAAAGCC